GTGTCCACCACGATCTCTAGCAAGCTGAAGCAACGTGCTAACTCCTCGGGGATTATAATGAGAGTAGATTTGCGGAGAATCTACGCCACTCACCACTCGCACACCAGAACCCGACGTCAAGATAAATATCACGAAGTCCGGATATGGGGGATGCCGCTGGTAGTGGGCGCGAAACAAACTCCAACACGCGCCATAGCAACAACATCTTGCTAGGTAGGATCCCGCCTGGGAGCGCCATAGGGGCCGCAATAAGAAAGGCCCATTGAGAAGAAGACGATTCGATCGCTGGGAAAATATTTTTATTCGCCTGACATTTCATGATCCGCCGCGGAATGATCATCAGAGACATAATCAGAGAGCCGTAGCGGATACAGTTAGTGTAAGCACAGGTATTTACAATGTAAGACAGTTAACATTGAAACGTGGCGTGAGTGCGGATTGGCCACGTCAGCAACTAGAAGCAGCGTTGACGTAGGATGGCGCGGTGACCTGTCAGTTTCGCGAGCGGCAACTTGCTTTGGCCAAAGTGAGTCTCAACACCGAATATGGAATGGGCAAATCGTTGCACCTGCTTACGGATTGGGGGGCCCGTGAACCATGACTCAAGTAATTCTCGGCTCACCCGATCGTCAGCTCTTGCGACAATTTCGGCCGTATATGGATTTGGGGCTCGTGAACTCGTCGAGAATTACTTGAGTTCATTCAGTTCGCAATAGAGGCAGACGTCCTGTTTCTTCGTAAGACTGATGTGGCCCTAAAGACTAGAGTATACAAAGGGCAGCCGACATACGTCAGGTACTCAGCTACCAAAGTAACCATCCACTGGGCCACAAACGCAGTTCTCTGCAAAAGGGCAGAAATTCCTTGCACAGAGGCAGGTGACAAACCGGGAGAACTTACTTATCTTCGGTGGATATTCTTCTCCAACGGTTACCCTCGCAACTTCGTAGGACGCAGCAGACAACCGAAACGAGTCACAAGACCAGTGATGGAAAAACCGAGAATGTGGAGAGCAATGCCATAAATGGAGAATGTTTCTGAAACAGTTGCTCGCCTGTTACAGCTACTGGGTATTGGAGTTGCCCACACCCCCAAGGCAACAATGAGGTCAAAGTGCCCTCCGTCTCGAGCAGAAACAGCAAACGTCGCCTATCGCGTTCAGTACAGTTCTTGCGAGGCGAACTATATTGAGGAGACTGGAAAACGACTACAGACCTGCAAGAGCGAGCACGCAAGTGCAGTGAGAAGGATGGGTCAACTCTCGTTGGTGGCCGAACATTGCGCGAGCACTGGCCACGCCTTCACTTTTGAGGACGGCAAAATCTTAGGCCGAGGCAGTGAGCAAGCGGCCAAAGAAGCACTTGAAGCATGACATGCCGCACCAAACCGATGTACGATACTCCCGGTGACTTACCAGGCCTTAAGCTTGTGGCTTAATCAACAAAATCGCCGCCAGGAAATCAGAGGGATCGCGACTTCTAGCAATCCCACACTGGGTCAGAATACAGGCGTGCGGGA